TTTGGTTTCTTCTTCAATGTGATCTACCTAGGAAACTTATCACGACTTACCTTAGACCTAATTCCTCGAGCGGCGTAGTAGCGGCAAGTACCTTCGATGACTACATTAAGCAACAGAAAGGTCCCCTTTATAAAGAGGAGAATTGACTGAAGAGACATCATGCACTGAAAAAAGGAAATATTTGTATCAGATGATCAACACCAGGTTTCATTCTTTCCGTCTTAAAGCCAACCATTTCACATTATGGAGTTACGTAATTATGTGAAGGAAAATAAAACAGTAAAATGCAGTTTGGTGCCATAGTGACGGTGTTTGTATGAACTTTGGGTTATTACATAACACATACCACGAAGTGCCAGCAAATTTTACACTTGACATCAGTAAGAAAAAGGGAGATATTTTTTTCTTGAAAAAATCTGCGTAACAATATAGACTGATTAGCAGTTATGAAATCCTATGATGTGACCATTCAAATGAAAGCTCTCTGCCTGTACTTACACATGGTGTTATTTGTTTTTCAAAATTTCCCAAAATGAAATTAGGACATTTGGTTGAAATTTTGTTTTGGCTAAATTTGGCAGTGAAAGGGTTAAGGGAAAGAAGTGGAAAATGTTAAGAAAGTTGCAGTATACGCATAATAGTTCTTTTTAAACTAAGGTATTCCTGTTATAGTGCAATCCAGGGTAATGTGTGGTACATGTACTAACTTTGTTTCCCTTGCCTCACCCACCAAATGTTTTACGAATAAGAGAAGACCTGAGTGAACACGGGGTGAACGTTACCCTGACAGGATGCAAGCGCGGTCCTTCATAAGGGACGGTAAGAGAGGAGGGGTCATCAAAAAATTGGGGAACTGTTCTTCCGATTGTCCAGTGTTCATGCTGTCTCAAGACCCTTCTCATGTTAGCTCACAAGAGCTAGCAATGTTTTCAGTAATGGACTGAGTCTCGCTTGTAGTCGAAGCTCAAGGGAAATCTTTTAGCAGCGGTAGTTTGTTCCCCCACATGAGGCTCCTGTACAACCCAGCCTTAGTTGAATTCTGCTTGTTTTCAGGTGGAAATTGACGAGTATCAAAACTATGACAAAGCTCTTGGAGCGTTAACAGAGGCGTACAAGTGCATGGCGAAGGCCAAGACAAAAAACCCCACCGATCAAGAGGAGAAAGTAGCTTACCTTAAACAGAGAATAGGATTTTTAAAGAAGTTTGTTCAAGCGAGAAGGTAAGTAGTGGTAAAGACATATGCTTCTTTACAAGATTTAGGTGACCTAATCCTCTTACGATAGAGTCACGACATTTATTGCATTAAGTCAGTCCAGTTATCTCACAGGCACAAACGAGTATTTTTTTGTGAAAGCATCGCTGTAAAAATTAACGTAAATGATCTGTATACCACATGGTAAACCGTATGTCAGGAAGACTTGCCATATTTCACCCCCTCAGGTACTCTTCTATAGAAAATGGTGGGGTGCTTATTTGAAAATTCTAAAGAAACCCCTAAGAAGGAACTGGAATCTGGGTTTGTAGGGGTGGCTCCGATTCATTTGAAGCCTCATCCGAGAGGTTCCAAAAAAATCATTTGAGTAGCAAAAGTTCTCAACATTTTTCGACCCCACCCCCTAAACGGTCACAGATCTTATGGCGGTCATCTTGCGTTGAAGATTCCTTATATAAGTGGCATTAATCCACCAATTTTAACTCGTAAAAGGGGCGACGAACATCCGTGTTATTTTTGTAGAGGAGTACCCGTTTATCAGTCTCTTAGTAGTCTCCCTCGCAGCCATTTTTGTCTCGTCACGCAACGGGAGGAGCGAGGAGACTAGTCTCTTTGCACACCTCTTATGATTTGCCTTTTTAAGTTGTGATAAGGTTTGTCAGTTTCGCTATACGTTCGTCTTTTGTAGGACATACGAAGAGAACCCAGAAGAAGCGATTAATCAGTGCCATATACTACTGGAAGAACCGGATCTTGAAACAGCTGTGCGAGGTGGAGATGTTTATGGGGTCATCACAGAACACTACGCAAGGCAGCAAAATTACTCCAAAGTAAGTTTTTGACCGAGACTTGTATGCGTAAGGGTTTTAAAGCGAAGTTTCAAATCAAGTTATTGGCTGTGGCAATGGACCAACGCTTTTCTCTTGACGATGTCGTAAAACCCAATCATTTCTCCAGCACATTTGTGTTATGACATCTTTCCCAGTGCGAGTTTGTGGTCACGGGCATTATCTTGTTGAAACTGGTAGCCCTAAGTATGCAACTGTTATACTCTTCTGTAATCAGTCACCTAGCAAGTGGCCTTTCGCTTTAAGGAATTTGATGTCAGCTTTGTTTGTTTTCGTATTTTTATTCCATTCGTATATACTAGTTTTCGTACAGAGCGCAGTTAATTGAGTCCATAAGATTCGAGGACGAGAACGAGATTTAACTTAGTTTTTCGCGTATTAACAAAAAATAGACAACCCGGAAAGCTAAATTGCCGGACTTTTTTCACCAGAAAATTTAGCACGGTTATTTTTATTGAATGAGGTTTAAAAGCCCTCTCCCGCACGCAAAATAATAAAACGTCTAACATTTGATAACTTGCTTCCGTCGTTACAACATTTTTTTTTTTTTTTTTTTTTTTTTTTTTTAATATTTTTTAATTAAAGCATTTCTTACGTTTACATACAAAATAGAAATTAAGAAAGAGAAAAAAAAAAAAAAACACACACACACATATATAGTACAAACAAACAAAAAAAAAATACAAAGCTAAACAAAGCTATTACAGCAATAAGTTACTTAGCATGTAAATTACAATGACATCTCTTTAAACTTATTGTTGAAATTAATCATAACATCACTTTTACGTAAAAACGCTTATTAACTTTTCCCACTTTCTAAAATGATTGTTTAATTTGTCTCTTTTCCTGGCAATATGGAGTTCGATGTTATAAATACGCCTTGTCCTGGCTATAAAACCTTGAAGAGAAGGTATACCATTCTGGTATTTCTGAGAGTAAATATAAAACTTACCCAGAAGCAACATATGGTTAAACAGGAGAAAATCTTCTGCAATATCGAACTTACCAAAAATGACGTCCTCCTCTTTAAGGTTATCAACAGAGACGTTATTATCGCGCAACCAGGACAAGACATGTTTCCAAAAACTAGATGATACTCTACAGGAAAAGAGTAAATGCTCTACGGATTCAACCTCTGTTTGGCAGAAAGCACAGGATGGCGACTCAGCCAAGCCGAAACGAAACAGTTTTTCGTTTGTAAAGACAATACGGTTTAAAATTTTAAACTGAAATTCTCTAATGTTGTGCGAAAAGGTAGCGAATAAACACTTTTCCAATCAATATCAATGTTTGAATACTTTGCAGCTAACTTTACTTTAGCAGTAGGCGTTGTTTGTTTTTTCTCCAGGAAAAGCCGGTAGATTTGCTTTGAGGAAGCATCAAGAATTGGAACCAAATTGTTACTTATTAGGATAGCAGGTGAATCCGGAAGTGGATCAATCACCGGTGCAGTAGTTGCCCTTTTAATTGTCAAGCGCCAACTGGCAGGCATAGAGTTAATAATACCCATAATGAAGAAACCTTGCTCTGGATTGAGATTTTCTTTAGTTGAAAATAAATCGCAAATTTTTAAAAACCCTAAATCTGCAATATCTCTACGATACACAGATTTCTTATTAATGCAGAGAAGCTTGTTATTCCAAATAACTTCATTTGCAATTTCATGTAGCAAGCTGGGTGTTTTTGCATTTACTTCTGACCACGCATCGAGACATTGCTTGTAGAAACTTGGTAAATAAATTCTTAATTTAGAAGTATCAAAATTACAATGCAATATGAGCTTCCCACCAACGGGGATAAGAACCTCATTTAAAAAGCTTTCCACGGACTTTTATAGTCTTCCAAATATTTTTTCATACATATCACTCGTCTGGTACGAACCATAGAATCAATATCGAGCATATTTAAGCCACCCTTCTCAACTTCCGAAATCATTACATTTCGTTTTACTTTATCTATCCCATTCCAAATAAAATAGTAAAAAAGCGAGTCGGCCTCTTTGATAAGGTCTTTAGAAATTGGCAACACCGACGCTCTAAACATAAACTTAGGGATGGCAAAGGTTTTTACAATTTGTATTCTACCTAAGAGAGAAAGACCACGCCATTTCCACAAATTGATCGTCTTCTTAAGTGATTTCAAAGTATTCCTAAAATTCAATTCATCTCTTTGTTTAGCGTCATAGCCAAAGTAGACGCCTAGAATTTTAATAGTGTCACAAAGATTAGGCATATCAGAATACCCCTCCCACAGAGAACTACTATTTCCTAAAGCTAAGGCTTCGGTTTTTTCATTATTTATTTTTAAACCAGAACATTCACGAAAAGTAGTCAGCGTAACGAATAGGTTGGTATAAGAACTACTGTCTTTGATAAAGCAGGTCATGTCATCAGCGAAAAGGGAAAGTTTAACAGGTTCATCTCGTATCGTAATACCCTTAATGCCATCATCTTCTCTTATCTTTATAGCTAAGGTCTCCAAAGCTATTATGAACAGGTAGGGAGAGAGGGGATCTCCCTGCCTTACTCCCCTACTTAGTGCAAAAGGTCCTGTTGTAAAACCATTGTTCATTACACAGCTAGAGGCGTTGTTATATAAGACCCGTATCCACTGAATAAAAGAAGGACCAAAGTTAAATGCATGTAATACTCTTAAAAGGAAATTTAAATTGAGCGAGTCGAAAGCTTTTTCAAAGTCTATAACCACTAGAATCCCAGGTATATCTTTGTACCTAGCATATTCAATCACATCATCGATCGTTCTGACGGCATCAAAAATTGTTCTCCCCTTTACAAACGCGTTTTGATTAAAATGAATTACTTCAGGAAGCACCTTTTCCAAACGCTTTGCCAAAGCTTTAGACGCCAATTTAGCATCAACATTTACAAGAGATATTGGACGCCAATTCTTCACCAACCTTTTGTCTTTTCCTTTCTTTTCAATTAAGGTGATAACGGCCTGTTTCTGTGAGTTCGATAGTTCACCGTATTCGAAAGCATAGTTCAAACTATCAACTACCAACTTTCCAAGCAAGGGCCAAAAGGCTAAGTAAAACTCGGCTGTTAAACCGTCGTTCCCTGGCGATTTATTCGTTTGGAAGGTCTGTAATACATTATAGCATTCATCATATCTAAGGATACCCTCGCAAACATTCCTCTTCTCCTCGGCTAAAAATGGAACATCGGTGAGATCATTTATATAAACGAAGAAATTGTCTGCGTGTCTGCGGAATTTCTACCATCATAGAGATTAGAATAATATGATTCCAATTCATTCATAATCTTTTTTGGGTCGCTAGTTAATTCTCCAACAGTTGTTAAGATTTTGCGGACACTGCTTTTAGTTTTGTTTGAATTTTCTAAATTCAAAAAATATTTGTTGTTTTTTTCACCCATTTCATACCAGGTTGCCCTAGAGCGAATGATTGCCCCTTGTGTAATGTAATCGTACAATTGATCATATTCTGTTTGAAGGCAATCCAGTTCCTCGAGATTTCCACTATTTGGATCAATATCACATTTTTCTGTACATTCCTTCAGCTTATCTTCCACCTTTTGTAGTTTTGTTCTTCTTTCACGGGCTTTACCTTTACTGTATGTAATTGTTTGCTGTCTTATTTTGTATTTAATTAAATCCCATAAAACACGCTTATCCTGAACCTCTTTAAATTCCTCTAACCAATTCACATATTCAGTGGTTAAAAGTTCACAGTAGTCCGAGTCATTTACTAAGTTCGAATTGAATTTCCAGAAATTCGGTCCTCTCTCAGTTTCATCTAAGCCGCAAATTGAAAGGGTTATTGCCGAATGGTCAGTTTTTATTGATGTTTTAATCTCCGCTGAAATTATCTCATCTTGCAAACTGTCGCTTATAAGCCAAAAATCGCTCTGCACAACCGGAGTTTTTTGACGCCAAGTAAATCGTGATGTAGTGGGGTTCCTAATACGCCAGATATCAACCAGATCGAAATCGAGGTGCATATCTTCAACTAATATTGCGGAGTCTTTCTTTCTGTTGTTTCCGCCCCGTCCATCTAAGTCAGGGTCAAGTATGACGTTAAAATCGCCTCCGACGATAATTGGGTAATCCTGTTCTGTTCTAGCCGCTTTCAAAATTTCTGATATTTCTTTAAAAAAGGTGCATTGTTCACTACATTTGTTTGGAGCGTATATATTTAAAAGAAAATATGGTGAATCCTGAATGGAAACCTCTAAGAAAACATAGCGACCTTGAGAATCAACCTTGATATATCGCATTTGAAAGTCTAAGTTATCCCTTACCAGTACAAGTACACCTCGACTATGGCTACTACCGTGCGAAAAGAACATGTTTCCTTTCCACTGTTTTCTCCAGATATTTTTGAGTACTGTAGGTTTCTTGCAGAAAACAAACATCGGCTCCAGAATTTAAAAGCCAGCTAAAAATTGCTTTCCGCTTTTCAAAAGTACGAATCCCTCGAGCATTTAGTGACAAAAGGCTAAAATCAACGTTACTACGCCCTACTTCACCAAAGGGAAAAACAACTTCATTAGGTGGGAAAAGTTAAGCGTCAGTTTGGCACCTTCAAACTTTAAAGAATATATCCTCATTAACGCGCCAGAATAGCTTTGAAAAACATAGTAAAAGCAAAGCAGAACATCTACAAAAGCAAAAACGAAAAAATTACATTTCAACGAGATACTGAAAAACACAAAACTTAAAAGAGCAGCAAGATAAATATCCTTAACGCTGCCCTTGAGGATGGAACTAATTAAATAATTCGACATCTCTCCTAGAGAGCTTTTGCTGCATGGTTATAATATACAATAACCAAACGATAACCACCTTACAGCCTTGCTATAACAAATAAAGGTCACAGATAATATAACCCTTACGCAGAAATGAACTTGCCATCAATAAAGAGTTTATCCGGTTCCGATTTACTAAAGGATACTTTTTGGCCCCTTTTTTTAGCTTCCTTTAATTTGGGCATTTGCTTGCGCCTTCTCTCTATGATTTCCTGAGGGAAGTCTTGCAAAATCATATACTCAGTGCCTTTCAATTCAAACCCAGCACGAAGCACTGTCTCGCGATCTTGATAGCGTAAAAAACGGTCTAATATCGGCCTGGGCTTTCCACGTACGGATTTACCGATCCGATGCACTCGTTGAAACTCCATATTCCTCTTTGGATCCCCAAAGCCAAGGACATCATGAAGAAACTCACACAAAACATCAATTGTGCCAACCGCATCTTTCCCCTGCGAAGCGCTGGCTTCGTTTTCCGGTATGCCAAAAAATTTCAGATTTTCTCTCCTGCTGTACGATTCGAGATAAAGGTGTTGCGTGTGCAAATATTCTATTTGCTTATCCTTGTCTTCTACCGTTCCACGAAGCTCTTCAACTTCTTTGTTGAGATATGTAAGACTCTTATCCATACCTTTGATCGAACTTTCCACAGCACGTGCGTCTTCTTTCATCTTGTCGATAGTTGATTCGACGTTCCCCAATCTGCTTGTTAAATCCTTCAACGTTGCCTCAATTGCATCGAGTTTCTCCAGTTTCTTAAGTTCCCCAAGAATTTTATCGAGTTTTTCACTAACGTTCCCAGCCATGTTTAAGGCTTGGAGAACCTCGTCTTCCTCGGCTAAACTCTTTGAACGCTTTTCCCGCGGAGAACTTGACTCAGACGAATCTGAATTGCTTCTCTCTGATATTGTACGTTTCAAAGAAGAAAGGATGGTTTCCATATACAAGAAATGCAGGCTGCCAGAAAATTAACTCAATAACCAGAGCGGAGCTCTCGAAAACACGTCTACTCGCTACGCATGCCAGCCCCAGTCCCGCTACAACATTCTTGCTAAAACCAGTAGACGAATGACGACGGCTGTCACTTTTTGCCGCCAAAATGACGCTGGTTCGCGCGTGCGCACTTCTTAATATTTTTTTTGTGTATTTTAATGAATTTTTTGTTTTAAAATGTTTTACATTTTTTTTTACATTCTGACTTATGAACACGGAACACGTAAAGAAAAGATACAAAAAACGGAAAGGAAAACTAAACATTATACATCGCAGACTAACACACAATTACATACTTACAAAAAAGAAAACAAACGAAACAAAAACCCAGTACCTTCTTTTCTATTTACATGAAAAAAAAAAAGTAAGATAAAATAAATAAATAATAAAGATTAATAATAAATAAAGTAAGCGGAGAAGAGATCGTATGCTAATCAGTTTTATATTTGCCCCATTTCATATTGTGGGTCTCCAACTTATTGTTTGACTCAGCGATCATTGTCTCTATTAAGAAGACAGTATTAATTTTGGAATGAAGAACTCTGATGGACGGAGGATATTTGTTCTGTCTACAAGAGTATAGATATTGTTTTGCCAGTAATAAAATATGATTCACAAATATCTCATCCTCACATCCAATAATACCAAACAGTATATCTTTGTCTGAAAGATTTTCAATCTTGACCTTATGATCAACAAGCCATTTTATAACCTCAGACCAGAAATTCTCAGTATAATGACAAGACAGGAAGAGATGTTCGAGGGATTCGTCCGATTCACCACACAAGGAGTACGCTGGAGATGGTATAATACCAATTTTGCATAAGAAGGTATTTGTCACAAGGCATCTGTTTAATAATTTATACTGAAATTCGCGAGTCTTTGTATCTAAGGCAACACGATATGGCAAGCTATAGATCTTTTTCCAGTTCAAAGTATCATTGACAAAATTAGCATCAAACTTTAGTTTAGCAGTTGGTGGAGTGACGATTCTGTTTCGAAGTTCTTTATAAACAATTTTCGAATACGCTTTTTCAAGTAAAACAATTTGACCACTTAAACGTAACTTAATCTCATCACGCAAATTGAATGGTGTGTCACCTGTATAGATGCAGGATTTCAACGATTCACGCCATTGAGTTGGTAGAGCGTCTATTAAAGAGACAAGCCTAAAAGCATCCAGCGGCGAAAGGTTCAAGACTCTCAACTCACTTTTGATTATAAGTTCATGTTTATTCGAGATTAAATCACCCACTCGAAAGATCCCCTTCTCAGCGAGATTTCGAAAATACACAGACTTGTCACCAACACAAATAAATTTGTTGTTCCATAAGATAACTTTTGACAAGTCTTTTCCATTTAAATCCTGTATATTTAAATTATTTACCGCAGAGCACTTTGCAAAAGATTTTAAGCATTCTTCATAAAAGGCTGGTAATTTGATAGTCAATATTGAGAAAATCTCGTCCTCGTAGTCCTCAGTCCTCCTGGTCTTAGTATAGAATCTAAAGCTCTCTAATGCTTGAGACGCGCTAACTTGAATATGCCATTCATATCGAAAGCACATTTTACAGTTTTTCTTACTCTAGCAAATTTTTCCATTCTTCAGGCGTATTCCGTTATGGAGGAAATGAGGCGTAGAGTACCCAACGTTAACATGGCGTACTACGTGAACATGAAGACAATAGAGGCCACTCACAAGGCTGTGGGCGTGCCCTTGGGGAGGTGTATGGGCGCCGAACGAGAGATCCGGGGGGAGCTAGACGAGGATGAAGGAGAGGAGGTGGAGGAAGAGGTTGAAGAAGAAATGATGAATGGACATGATGATTATTAGCTACCAGGACGCAACAAGTGGAGGTAGAGAACTGGAAACTAATGAAAGTCAAACTGGCTTTGGTTAGTTTTTACTGACTCAGTTCCAATACAACGATAGGCGAGAAGAGAGAGACTGGAAACTATACAAATCAGCATAGCAAATGTTATTGAGTTAACAGGACTGGACTGCTGGGGAGAGATAATGACTGGAAACTAGTAAAAATACACGGAAGTGATTGTTACTTATACAGGACAAGTAAGGAGAGTAGCGAATGGCGGGAGGACGCCAGAACGAAAAGAGGTTAAAGATATTGAAGGAGATTTTAAAAGTAGAATTTGATTTGCTAACGAATTAACAGGACCAGAACAGAGTAAAACAGCGAAAAGTATTCTTTTAAAAACTTTAAAAAGGACAAATCAAGAGAGCTGGGATGAGAATCAGAGCAAGTCACAGAAATTCGGCTGGTGGTTACTTGGAGTACGGACAGAATACAACATCTTCTGCAATAAATGGCGATAAGAGGACAGTAAAAAGCCTTTGCTGATCACTTTGCAACTTACCAAATTTGTGCAAATCCTGCTGGCTGAAGCATTGATAAGTACCCTCCTCTTCAGGGGCAGTCGCCATTCTGTGTTAAGAAAAAAATTCCATCGAAAGAAAGTTCATAAAATAATGTAACGTGGTAAGATGTGTTTCTAGTGAATAGCTAGATGTTTGGACGGTTAAAACGAACTTAATTTATTATCATATACGTGGGAGTTACATCCCATTGGCACTTACGGTACGAAAAAACCGGCAAAACACTGCAAAACGAGTTGAATAACAATGTTGCGCCTTATACCACACATATAAAACCTGTCTTGCAACAAATCAAGTTGTTAACAGGTTTGAACATTGGTGTTAAAACGCGAAGTTTTTCTTAACTTGCAGCAATGTTGAAAAACAAGTTGCACGTTTTTTGTTGCCCGTTTTTCGGTACCTTAACCGTTTTGGGCGCGGCACCCATTGATGCATAGAATGTAAATCTGCGTAGACGTAGTTTGTTGTAGAACCCATAACGCTGTATTTCTACGTGGCGTTTGTCATACATACTGGTTGAGTTACTATGAACCGTTTCAATTTTTTTTTTTAAAAAAAAGTTTAAGATGCAGGGATTTTCAGTTTCTCAAATTATCTGAACCGTCTTCGTGAATTAGGACAGAAAGATATCAACGAAGGTGAAATCTGAAAAGTGTTTTTTTTTTAGTGTACATTCGGTGTAAATAATGGTATTATATTCACTTTCAAAGTACTTACAAATGCTCGGTTTCTTGCATACTGTTGTATTTATTTGTTATCAACACGTTTGTTTAAAGTATCCTGTAAATATGTTTAAAGTTGAATATGAAATAAATAGGGCCTATATGGTGTGCTTTCCTAAAGATAGTCTATATTCGCTTTCGCCATGACCGCTGAATAAATGTACTGAAGGCGTACTTTTTAAGGTTAGGTTCGATTTCCACTGTCGCTTAATTTTTTCCGTGCGCCGTACGAACGTAAATTTTACGCGCGCAAAAATAATTGAAGCAATGCATGAAAGGTAGCACTTAAACGTAAAAGTTGAGCGACCTTCAACTTTTATGAGTTCGCGCGACTTGCTATATTTTTCCTCTAGTTTATTTATGCGCTTAAAAATTACGTGCGTAAGCACGGGAAAATTACGCTACTGTGGAAATCCATCCTTAGGCTCCATTTGAAGTGAATATATTTACAAATTTCAGAGAGAAGAAGACCTGTTTACAACTCTGTCTAGCGGTAATTTGCAATTCTTAAAAAGAAAAGGACTATTGAAGTCAGACTTGTATACTTCCACAAGATGAATAGGGAGCTTAAAATGTAAAAACGAGGACAGACACGAGAACCTCAAAAAAAGGCTCTTGGTCTAATGAGAAAATCAATAACGGCACGTGCATTACACCGTACAATAGACCTTGTCACGCGGCGGCCATTTTGTCCCAAGAGATTAAAAAAGCTTTGTATTTGCACGGCCACCTCGTTCTCACTGCGAGGCTAACCGTGCAAAAACAAAGCTTTTTTAATCTTCTGGGACAAAATGGGCCGCGTGGCAAAGGTCTTTTCACGTTTTATGGAGGACGTGTAAACGGGCCACCAGAAAGTTTTCTCTTTCTGAACTTAAATGTGTTCTAGGGAATTCAACTCCAGGTGGGTCTCCACATTTGGCAAAGTGAGTAAGTTGGATTAACCACGATGAAGATTAAAAAAACGGGAATTCACTGTTTTTGAAAAGAAATGTTCTCGCCCCGTTGTAACCTGATACAAACAACAAGCCGCAAACCTGTCGTAAATGGCCATTAACTGAGCATAGATTAGGAAAAAAGGTAACGACAAATCCAAGTTCAGGTAAGTGAGATTTATTTTAATATTTACACTGTTATTCTCAAGTTTTGACAACTACACTGAAATTCTCATAATTTTTCGTAATATGCAAAACAGTATCAAAACATGCTGTAATTTATGTACCGAGCTTGGGCTGCCTGTGAATTGTCTATATGGCCTGTATTGGTTACCAACAAGAGGGCATTGTTACTGCCTAAACATCGCCAAACATTCCTTGGTCTATTTCAATGACAAACTTAAGTCAAATCTTAAAGTTAAAATGTCAAATATGGCCTTTCACTGCTTTGTGTGGGCGCTAGAGAGGTAAAAGTTGGGGTGGCGGGAGGGGGCGGGGAGTTTAAACTCTTCTTTTAGCTGGAAGGAAGACGCTTTCTACTTCATTACTGTACTAAAATCTCAAAGCAGTTTAAGCTTTGATTCATCTTTTTGTCGTTCCTCGCCCACTTTGCCAACAGTCTCCTTTCGTCGTCTTGATTGGGGAGGAGAAAAAAAGGCTGTGCCTGAATGGCGTCAACAGTCAAGCCTTTGAAGTCGCCGAAGCCAGAAACACTGGACTAGTTGAGTCCTGTTCTCTGTCGTCAAACTGGTTTTCCGAGTGCGAGCATCCCTTTATTGATAAACCGATGGTCATAACTGAGCCCGCTTTACCAGGCGCATAGCTTTTAGACCTGGGTTCAACACGAGAAACGAATACTAAGTAATCTACTTGTAAGCATCAACAACCGCGGATAAAAG